AGTCAGTAGACAACAGTATTCCTCAAGATATATTAACAACTTCATTGCATTCATTCATACGTTCCTAAACATCTGAAACAATACATACACATGAATAAGACAACATAAAAACTACGAAAAAATCATCATGAAAATGCAAAAAATATTTTTATCCCATCAATAACAGTTTTTCAATTTAAATTCCACTTTCTTTCTGTTTAATGTTAAAATACTTGATATCCTATTTAAAACAATATTTTTAATATGATTTGTTCAGAAAACTTTCTAACATGATCTCTTACCGTTTTTGATTTTGTTTTTTTTTGCTAATTACAACTGGTAACGGATATTATCAAAAGTTTATCAATAAAAATATCGTACGTTTGTTATACAAGTTTGAAAAGAACTTTTGTATAACGATCATGTATTATATCAAACTTCTTACTTCTTTGATAGATATCAAAACAGTCTCAACTTGAATAAGTGTCTACTTTCATTAGAAATATTTTAATAGACAATTGGTCAAGGAAACTAGTAAACAAACATACCAAGCATGGATGATGAAACAAGAAATTACTGTAAGAATAACATCTTTCCTTATCGAAAGTCTTTTAATTTGACCTCTGATATAATCAATAACAAGAGGATATCGTTATTTTCTTCCATGTTTCTGTTTAAAATAAATCTGAAAATAAGATCACAAAATAATAATCTAAGCAAAAATTAACAGAAAATGACAAGTGGAGAGAAGGAAATTGAGCAGAATGACCATCGGAATAAGGATATCGAAGATGTACAATTGTGGCAAACACATACTGGACGTTAAATAAGAACAACTCCAAATACTAAGGAAGGTATAATTTTGAAAAGAAATCGTTTTAAGTTGAGTTTATTTCACATCTGATTATGGTCACATAGTATATTTCTTTTATAGACAGTTAAGCACATAAAAAAAGTATAAAAGACATTCTTATATCATCAACAAATGCTGTTATTCTAAAATAAAATATATAAACTACGGCTTTACATTCAATGAATAGATTTTACTTATATCTTTTTGCAAATAATTCCCATGTCTGTTTGATGTCAAACAACAAAGAATTCAGATCCATTCTATTCGAAAAAAATTTTAATTTAGCAAAAGAAAAGGATGACGCTCACTTGTTTTGCTTTTACTCGTTGTAGAGAGAAAAAAAGAAATACAAATAAAAAAGAAAATATGAGCAAACATCTAACATCTCGAGATATTCTAGCATGTTCAAAATCTTGAAGAAAAAAACGAACGAACTAGATGGTGAAAAAACAGAAACAGAGATGTGTTTATATGTATAATTATGTACAAAAAAAAGTAATGAAAATAATTCGTGATGTGGAAGAACTAACGTATGTTACAAACTAAAAAAAATGTTGACAAACAAATATAAAGTACAAAAACATGAAACAGAAGTTTTGCAGGTTACACACATCTCAACTTAATTAAATAGATTTCAGCGTAATAATAAATAAGAATAACAACTATTTGAATGACTAGGTGTCCAAAAACTTTTTGAAAGACAACTCAAAAAGAAGTTTTTCTTCTAACAGTATGTACATCCACTTGACTCAGTCGGTTTGTCAGTATCTCCAGGACGAAAACCTTGTGAATGTTGATCATTTTGCCATAAGCCTGGCGTTTGAATTATCTAAAAACAAAAAACTCTATACAAAAAAGTTGCAAGCCAGAGTGCTCTTTCTTCTACCTAAATGCGTGCACAGTAATATAACTAAACCAAGAGGCCGGTTTTCAAATATTTCTTACCTTTTGAACAAGCTCTTCAAATGCAATTTGTACACCTTCACAAGTTCGCGCTGATGCTTCAATAAAAAGCATTGAATATTTTTTTGCAAATTTGTTACCTTCATCACGTGACACCATTCTGCTACTTTCCTATAATAGAAAAGAAGTCAATAATTATTGTTTAATGAATGTGAATTAATCATATTTTTTTACTTGATCAATTTTATTTCCGACCAACATTTTGACTATATTTGATTTTGTTGCAAATGTATCTAATTCACTGATCCATCTATCGAGTTGACGAAATGAATCTCTATTGCAAACATCGTAAACGAGTATCGCTCCTTGTGCGCCTCTATAAAGGGAACAATAAACATAC